CTAGCGGTGCGTCGATTCGCTGCGCGAAAGCAGATCGAGGTGAATGAATGAGTTTATTAAATCGCTCCGTACGTACGACAATTCGTAATGCTGTCTGACATTGAGAAGGAGCAGCTCGACGGAAAAAACGATGATGATGCTACCATCGTTTCGATCTATTTATAGTCTTATTCGATGCCAGCCTACGACGTCCCATCATCATAACTATGTCAGTCGGGGAATTAGTGTCAGGCACGAAACGACGTTTTGTGTGCAACACAATACGGCAGTACATACGTGCCAATTTCCAAGATTTTTCCTCCCGCGATTCCCGGGATTCCCGGAGGGCCGAGAGTCGAATGCCAGGAGCTCACGGGGACTGCAGGATTGGAAGAGGGTGATACAGATTCCGTAGCCGGTAGTTACGCGCCGCGCCGTCTCGGGGAAGCAAGGAAATCTGCCGCGGCAGTCAGAGCGATCGGTTTCATCAAACAAATTCGATCCGCGATGAAAGCTGTCGGATGCAGCGATCAGCGACACGGCAGCAATGGGGAATCGAAGAGGTTTACATGAATATGATCCGGCGGTGAGAGTAGAAAGATGCCGCCAGATAGAGTTGGCAAAGCTGTCGTCGATTGACGCCCGCCGATCCCCCGATCCACGGGCGGCAGGTCCATCACCACCGGTCGAGGCGTCGGGCGCAGACCCACCTGCTGTCGTTGCAACCACAGCAATTGTTCGGTCCGCGAACGTGGTACCGACAAACGGTAGCCCAGCGTGGGAGAAACAACGAAACCAGAATACTTCCTGGTCTTTGACAAAGCGTCTTCGCCTCTCTTTCCTGTGCATGACGAGGGAGTCCCAAAGTTGCCGACTTGAGCAAGGGACAGAATCGGACGTGACGATTGACGTTTGTCTCGAGCACAGCTCGAGCCAGTAGTGAAATCAAGTCAGGTCCACCAGATGGAGGTTGTTCCGAAAGATCCCGGGACTGACCGAGCGGCTAAGCAACGAAAGCAAGCGAGCAAGACAGCTGTTTGGCCCGTCATTGTTGTAAGTGGTATGTGTGTCCTTGCCGTCGCTTCACCATCGGTGGCGCTGCCGACGTTCGGTCGTCTGACTTACGGTTCAGTCGGTTGCCGGTTGCCGCGCGCGGCGCAGCTCTTCCCGCAGGTACTAGTGCAAATTTACGCGAGCGAAAGCTTCGTCACCCAGCCTCGATTACTTTCCGGCCGGTCGATTAGCCATCGTCGACTGCCGAACGAAATCATCCCGATCGTTTGTTTGGTTTAATGGGAATTTCTCGAACTGTTGCTAGTTAGGTTCTGAGTATAACGGTGCCACAGATCTGTTTCCCTTTCCGGAAGCTCTCGGATGTCCATGTGAAGTGATAAAAGTGCCATCAACGGAATTCTCTGAAAGTTTTAGGATCCGCTTAGTGATCGAATGAGGATGGGAGTCCTCACAAGTAAGTGGTAGAGTTTACCAACAAGTGGCGCGCGGTGATGAGGCGAGCGATCCGTGTCGGCCGCATCGGAACCGGTTCGAACAAATTGTCAGGTGTGCCTCGTTCCATCCATATCCGTTTCGAATTGAATAAGCGACGGTCGGAAATTCATCCCATCTGATTTGTCGGTTGGAAAACGACACCGAAAAGCCCTATGAACTATCGCTTCGATCGGTCTGCCGGAACTCATGAGGGGGCGCCCGGAAAGTTTGTCTCCAAGGGGTTCAGCCGTCATCTTATGCGTCGGACCAACGGTCGCGAAGTTCCGGAAAATCGCGGATGGAATTTTCTTCACTCACTCAGCTGAAAATGAGCCTTGCACAAGAACATAAAAAACCACGAAAGGAAATTTTCGACGTCATGTAGAAGTCGAAAGCGTGCGCGAATTCGACCATCAAAGTAAGCTGACTTTCCAGCTTCGAAGTTTTCGTGGAGAAAAACTGATTCGGATGGGGCAATGTCTCAAACAGCCATCAGTTTTACCCAAAGTTTCAAGTTCAAATCGATCGGCACCCGAAAGCTCAAGAAGTAGTTTCGGACTAAATCAATACTGACAATATTGAACATCCGTTCACATGGAGCATCTGCTCGAGCCTATCTCACTGTCCCCGTCTTACGAAAGTTAGGCAGTCAGATCACTTGAGTTCTCGATGCTCAGTCAAACGCGAAACTATCATTAAGTACCGGTCCCCGCCGCGCTCCGCTGCAGCGCGCATGTTCACGCACCTACGTGCTACTTCCGCGAGCAGTAGGACTCAGGACAATGCCTGCGTGCAATGAGACGACATTTGTTCGGCGCTGCAATATATGATATTATGCGCAAATCCTCAATGTTTTGGCATTCCCCGCTCGGTTAGTGTCGAGGGCCAGGTCCCTCTGCATCTTGTCCTGACTCCTGTTCCGGTGCGGCGCGGAGTTCTGTACATTCTCTATCGCTCATCCACGGAGCTCGAACAGACATCAGTCTTTCTGTGACATGCACCGATGCTGCTCTCGAGATGATTACCCCAGTCGCCAGAACCGGCCCTCGTATTTCAAAATTTCTCACAGTTTGGGCCATCGATTCGGGATTTCTTGAACTTCGCTGCGGTCGGTTGGGGAGCTCAGCCACTGTCGGGTTTCCCGAAAATTTCGGAAGTCAAACCCCAAACCATCGTTGACAAAAATCATAATTTCAATGCAATGCCCGATCGGGCGGAAGAGACTCTTCGGGACGGAAAAATTCTTGGAGCGACCTTTATCAATGATGTACGACCTCTACCTTTATGATGTACGGTAGGCAACGAATATAGGGATTCTCGGATCGTCGCGCATGACGTACGAATATCGGGAGTATTCGCTTCTGAAAAACGAAGCTCACGGTGAGCCCACTCCCTTCTCCCCTTTGATCATCGGAAGACGATGAAACGCAGAAGACATGGTTAATTTCAAGATCATGGCCAACAGAGGAACAGCACCGACAGGGATATTCTTTGAGTGCGCACAGGAGTGGATAGCTCGGAGGAAGTGCATGCGAAACATTCCAGTGTTTCAGCAGTGCATATGCAAGAGGACACGAACAAATGTTGGGTTCTCTGCGAGGGAGCGATGACGATGACTCTACGCACAGAGATAGACCTCTGTCCTCTATTAGAGGTTTGATTTTGGGATTAAGTCTGGGTCTCCAGAATGCTACCTCTCCCCGACTCTCAATCTCGAATAATTCTCGCATGGCAAGGGGATGCGTCCGTTCAAGGAATGGTCCCACGCGAAGCAAGAAGAGGCATGGGGTCACATAGCGGAGCGATATTTATATCTGGCGTGCGGGGAAAAAATGAAACACAAGACTGCGTTGCATCAAAAATAGAAAAATATTATGTCAGCCGCTGCTGAAATCACAGTGCGAGCGCTTGCCGCTCGTTTGACGGAACCGAGCGCACGGTATCAACGAGTTGCGGAACCGAGCTTAGTGAAATTCTTCTACTCACGACGGAATGAGTAACTTCGTTCCATGGACAAGTTCCTCGTTAAACGCGAACTTTTGTCCTCCCGAATCGCTGTGAGGCTTTGGGAGTCGGCTCATTTTTCTCCGGAAGAGGTTCTCTCCCCTTGTGATTCTGGTGAACTTGACAAGTGAATATTTTTCCGAGCAAATCGATGTTCACCAGAAGAATTGCCCACTTCTGAGTCTTCTTCTATGAGTCTTTGCCGGAAATGTGGGATGCCGAGCTTTGAGGCTTCCAAACAGAGAAATTCCATAACAACCAGAACGACAGCGACTTTTCTGTAACACGAGCAGTAACCAGTTTGTTCTGTCATTTGCATTATTATTTACCTGCTCACGTTGACGCCGATGTTCATTGAAGCCGGAATCCTTCCGGCGCGGCCGGCGGCCGCTAAGTGCGTTCTCGGAGGAATGTACGACCAGCAGATTCTATCATTTCACGTGATCCTGAAACCAAGGATACCAACTATTGGAAATATTGAGGTTAAATTCCTCGGTCTTCCGTTCCCGGTGGACTCTTAACTGTCCCACGTCATCTGCCCTGGAAATCACGGAGGTTTAGCCAGTCGACATTCGCGGTCAAAATACCGTGGACCGTGGTACAGGCGGTGCGAGAGTCGACAAGTGGCAGGCTTCACCATTGGTCGGTTCAATTTTGCGACGCTGGAGTCTCCAACATCATCGTCTCAAATATTGCGGTGCTTGTCGCCCGCAACGGATGCCTCAAAGCTCGCTGCTCTGGATGGGAAGAAGGTGACGCAAGCATGTCACACATCTAAAGCCTTCAACCATTACACAGCGACTTCCGGAGATTCCCAGAACCGGAACCCATAAGGAGGCAGACCGGAGCGACCCAGGGATGAGTCACTGCGCGCAAACCGCGGGTTCAAGCGGATCCTGAAATTCTTCGAGAATGGATATGTCTCCGAAAAAGCGAGGAACGGCTCGTTAGGCAGCTCTCGCTCCAAGGACACTCACCTCCCATCGAAGAGGTGATTTCTCGACACCGAATCGATTGAAGCCCCCGGATTTGAGCATGACGACCAGGATCGAGGAGCCTTACCTCATCGGGTATCGACAGCTCCACGAGCGCTGGTCCAGAACGAACCTCATTGAAGCGTTGGAGCCCTTGCTCGCAATTCACTCTGAGACAGTGAAACAAAGTTGCCCAAGGTTGCCCCACCGCGAAGCCCTCATCATATGAGTAAGCGCTTCGAATGCATCCGCGAACGCCGCCGCTATGAAACGCTACAATCCTCTTATCTCGTCTGGGAGCCCTCTCATTCAACAGAAAGCGACAGTCGATCTGGATAATCCCGTCGGACTTATACAAGACGTCGACGACGACGAAGTCGACAGCCTTCTCAACAGTTTCACATCGCGAAGCTTGCGGCTTCAAGTGGTTCTCCGCGGCCGTTTTTCGAATTTTCGCGCGTGACCAGCGCAACTATCGGCAGACAGATCAGCTGGGCGTATCCGCAGCGCTTTGTCCCGCAGCGGCAGATCAGCACGGCAAGATGGCGACGACTCGGTGCTGCTGTTGGTGACAACATCGGGGTGCACCAGCGAACTGGTGTTCACGCAAGATGTCAACTAAACTTCTTCCTCGTCGTGTTTTTCTGGCTTCCAGCGGTGCTTCGTCCTGCACAGTCCTCGCGAGAAGGGCAAGGTTGGTATCTACCGTATCCAGTCACTCCGAACTCTTCTCTACGAGCGACGGTGGTGGTCTCCGGAGTTCCCGTAGAGAAGTGGCCGTCGCAGACGTTGCTGCAGGCACTCCTTCCGAGACCGCGGGAACAAACGCTTAGGATCGGAGCAAATCACGGAACGAGACCTCGATGGCTAGCTGGAGGTTTCGGACGCAGCTGCTCGATAACCGAAACTGAGCAGCCTCGGTGGAAAAGTCCGACTTGTATCCGCGCGACTTCGTCGGTGCAGCCAAGGTGGTACACCTGGTTCGGATGCATGTACGTGATCAGCAGGTCTTCTACGCCAATCAGCTGACCGTACAGGGTTGGCTTACGCTAACTATAGCTCCTAGCGGGTCAGTGATATTTATTTCATTACGCGCTTGATCGAGATAGACGTACACTGCGTTCGAGTGATCTGTCAGCTGGTCGATTATGATCAAGCTCCCGAAAAATGAGATTCCTCTTCGGTAGTCTGTTATTCATGCTTGTTGATCGGTTAGTAAAACGGGATGGGCAGCGTACGACGTTTGGAGTCTCTGACGCGCACCTAGTCTTGCAATTCGATAGTGGGTCGTGACCGTGACGTAGATGATACGCTGCTTCAGAGGACTACGATTTCCCTCGTGCAGAAGAGCTTGGTGTCCTGGTGCAGAAAAGGACTATTCCGAGAAAGGATTTCTCCCGGTACTGCCTGATGTGCTCTGCGAATCTGTCAAACTCTCATGCGTGATCTACCGCTGCGTCCAGTCATGCTCGGCTGACACTTCTGCGTAAATGGGAGAGATGCCTGAAGATCTGCTGAACAACATGTGCAGCTCTGATTTCTTATCCGTCCATCCATAGAAACGGATTGACTCCGATTCTGCATCTGAACCGGTGACGCTCAGGCAGTGTTTCAGCCAGTCACGTAAAAACGTTGTCCAGCAGAGCTTCCTCAGACTGAAGTTGACGATGGCGATGCGGCACGACAACGACTTCCGAACAATAACGTCTTATTCTGGAACCCTGTCCTACTTCGGTATTTCTAGAGCTGCTCCCAAGCAGCCCACCGACTACGCGGGCGAGCTAGGGAGTGACGGACAGCTCAACAGTCTGACGGGATACGTGAAGACCGAAGGAACTGGTGAAAACTCCATGCAGACCTCAATTCCGCTTTCGAATCGTGCTCGAAGATCGCAATCGGACTTTTGTCTGGTCGGCTGCTCCCAGACGAACTGCCCGATTACGCTTGGGGCTAGTGTTGCGCTAGAGCTCGGGTTCCATCCGTTTTCCGTCGAGCATGAGTTTGAGACGATACGTGGGAACTTCATACGAATCGAACTTTTTTGCCTCGGCTGGGCGTCGTTAACGACCGGTTTCGGTGGTAACCTTTCGAACTCGGTATGGAGCTTGCAAACGTATGCAGACGTAAAGTCTCGGCTGGTCTGAGAACTTCGTGTGGTTCGCCAGTTTCCCGCCTTCGACGTGTTGGAAAGATGCTGACGACCATAATAGCTGGTTAGAGAAATCCAGCCGTTTTGTCAGAAGCGTGCAGTCAACTTATGAATCAAGCTCCCTGCCAGAAGTATGAAACAAGTACCACTTGTTCTTTCCGAAAGTGTCTGGATGGGCCGGCCTGGTAGTGGATGAACCTCCTCAATGGCTGGCGAAGCCGACCGGAAAAGTTAGTTTTTCGACACCGGAAAGTCACAAAGCAGCGATGGCAGATCGGATGCCGGGTGACGCTCGCTCCACGACAAGCAGCCGTGGGTCGTTGTTTGAGGATTTCTGATTTCGGAATGGAATCGCTCCGGGTTCTGCGGCCGTAGACGAGGATCGACATTGTCTTTGGGAAAGGATCGATTGTTCCGTCGCGGACATTCCTCAAGATCTCTTGCTGGCACTTCACGAATAGCTGCCTGGGAAGATCTTTTCTTTAATATGTTCGCTCACGAAACACTCGTGACAAGCATCGAATATTCATGAGTGCTTGACAGATCCTCGACCATATGTATGACACCGCGAGACTCTCCCGAATCATGTGCAGGTTCGTCAGGAGCTCAAGGGATACCCACATTATCATGACGTTCGATCGGGTTGGGCTCATTCCTGAACCGGAATCTCCCTCTGATCTCTCCCTGGCATGATAAATGTACGTACGTTCACGAATGCAGAGGGCCGCATTCGTGTCCCTTGAGCGAAGGAAAACGAATATTTTCGCCGCAGCCTTTCAAATGAAATTTCTCTCGGAATCTTCCGCATTTGAGCGGAGAGGAAAATACCACAAACGACGGTGACCGTGGCGGTTGCCAGGGGGAAACATGGTACCGGACGGGAAGAGACACTGGAAATTACAGAAACTATCCTCGTGGATGAATGCGTGGTCGGGCTATCCGCTGGTGGTGGGTCTGCCGGTGATGTTCACGGATCGTGACTCATCGTCAGTCATTAGTCGGAGCAGACAATTGAAAGTAAATAATTATTGTCGTCGTTGAGCTGACGTTTCGAAGACGGGAACTCATCCGTTCGGGATCGAGTGATTAGTTCATTGACTTTTCGCCTTTGAAGAGAGAGATACTTTGCTCGCAACACCTGAGGGGAGTTTTCGACGACTAATGAAATGCCATGGAGCTTGAATCAAGCGATTGCCTCCTTTCGACCGGATCACTTCAATGATCGACGTTGTGTTCTCTGTCGCACTATCGCGGTTAGACCAGTGCACTACTCTAGAGGAACCTGCCCCTGTGCCTGCTCCTCCGTCTCGCGAAGTTGTACGATCGGATTCATTCAAATGCAACTCCAGACTGGGAAATCTAGCTCATGCAAACTCGAGTTATCGGGTACCCACGGGTGGAATAAGGAATTCGTTTTTCTTTCTTCGCAGAACTACTTCCGCTAGTTAGTGCTTAGCCCGAACCCTGATTGGATGAACACCTTCAACTCAGCCCTCAGCGAAAAGCCTCGCTTTTCTGTGTCTTCCACCTGAGCATCCCTTCCCTGGAAGTCATCGAAAGGCGATCCAATCCACCATGTCCACAAAGCATAGGAGAGAGAAAGGTGAGCCATTCCATAAATTCTAGGATGCTAGATAATACAGCAGCATTTTCGTGATTTCCCTCACTTTGGGATTTCTGGCCTCGTCTGCGACAGCGAAAAAAGGATTTCCTTGAGGAACTCTGCCTCAGTCAGTCTCCTAAATCAATCTGCCCGGACGACTTGAAGGGAGCTCCTAAGAATTCGTGTCCCTAGTCGGATATTCTGCTTGTAGATCCGCTGACTCCGTCATACCATTCCGTGGCGTGATTCGCATTCGAAGACATTGTAGGTCGGTCGCTCCTCTAGGCACACTGAAGCGACGGCCAAGTCGTGTGGCTTGTCCGAACTCCCGGCCTTTCGAGCGTCATCGACTGCTCGTTTGGGGTTGCGTAATTGATTAATTGTCTTATCCCGGAGAGGAGACGGATCGATCAAGTGTCAAATGGATCGATCGATCGATGGATCGACTAGTCGATGGTCCTGACGACTATTACAAGCATCGGAGCTGTGGTTGGATCCGCCGCGGTCGCTTTCCGCATGGCGGTGTCCGACGACGAGTACCAGTGGTCAATCGCTCGTCAGGGACTCGGGCGATCCCGGTGGCATGTATTGTCGAGAAGACGTGCGTTTGCTCACAATGAGCCGCTGCCGACTTGGGGAATTGTGTGTCTCGCTTCCTCGATATAACTCATTCCGTGAGAGACGATGGAAGATAGCTCACTGGCAGCGTACCTATCGTGGTCGCTGTTCCTCGGATGCATCAACCCGAATGCGGGGAACGATTTCGGGCTGCAGAGAAAATGGGCATGATACATGTCGCGCGGCTCTGGCTGCTAAAATTTCGCTGTAACACGCGGGTACCCACGCCTCCGCCCTGATTGTAGCTCGAATCAGGTGTGGATGCTCAAACTCATTGATTTTTTGAGTCGCTCAATCACCTGCCGTTGTTGATTCAATGAAGAGCCGGATCCGCGCGCTGTCGCATGAGTCCAACGTGACCGGACTCGGAGAGCGCGTCACGATTCTGCGCTCGAAAAGAGCGATGATCATACACCTGTGCGAATTCCCTTTTGCTTTACTCTGCGCCCTTCGCTCGCGGATGTGTTCGCGAGACAGCGAATTGATGTAATTTCTCTTGATCGTGCCCATTACCAGTGCGGTTGCCTTCCGTCGTCTGGCCTAAGGCTTATTGCGCCAGTTACCAGCATCGCAGCCTACTCGATCGTTCGTGTCACCGTGGCTGCTCAGTGATGAAACGCTCGTATCGCCGGAACGCTTAGATCAGTGATTCCGAAAAGCGCTAATTCGATGGGTCGTACAATTTATCCGGGAAAATGAAAATGAAGATAAGGCTCTCGTCGACGTCGGGCGTACTAGAATAATTCTTCGTGCGAGCTAAGGAACCGACTCGATGCGATAGTAGCGGGAATAAGCTCATCGGAGGATTGTAGTCTAAGTGCCGAGATGACCGAAGCATACGACTCTGTTGTCTCCTTTTTTCCAGGACCTAAGAATGACCCCTTCCGTTTCCAAGGAGAAGGGATCACATTCAAGGGGAAACTCATCGGCAGCGAAGCCGTCGCCCACGTAAGATTAGCTAGACCAGCTGATTCCACTTCCTCTGGAGCTGTCATTCTCGGAATGCAAATATGTTTGTCGTCGTGTTCTCTCTCGGTGTATCGCGCCCTAGAGCTCAGCCTTTTCCATCCGAATCGGAGCAAGTCGAGCGGACATTGACAGAATAGTACACCCGTAGTAGCCAAGCAGGATATCGTCCTTAATGGAACACCGCTCGTGGACGGGAAATGTGTTGATCGGGCCGATTGATGGCTTTCACTATTTGAGTAAAGCGGCTAGCTCGGCGAGCGACCGTGGAGTAGCCGAGTCAGCCTGCCAGATCCATTTGGGCGTCTTTTCAGTTCGATTCCATGAGCAACGCTTGAATCAACGCTTCTTCCAGGATCGGGGCGATCGAATGTGTGCGGACGCGATGGCGAGGCTGAAATCCGTGGTGAAGGCTTCGGGGGAACACAAGCAACGCGTTTCACTCACTGTCTCACTTGAAGGTGTCAAAGTGTTCGACGAAAAGACCCAGGAACTGATGTGCCACCATCCGGTTCACCGGATATCCTTCATATCCCAGGATCAGACCGATCCTCGGGCGTTCGGCTACGTTTCGGGTGCCCCCCAAGGGGGGCATTCCTTCATAGCCATCAAAACAGAGAAGGCGGCATCGCTGATCGTGATTGGTATGATTCCAAATTAAAGCGAGAGGATGTACGAGCTCTATCGGTCTGGGGGTCTATCACACGCGATAGGGGAAATTCATTCCCTTCCTGTTCGCGTTGCAGCTCTTCGCGACCTTTTCCATGTGGTCCTTGAAATGAAGCAGCATGAGTTGAAACGCAGGAGTGGGTCTACGTCCAACTCCACGGTGAGCCAAACCAACAACGCCAGCAACCGCAATTCTCTTCCTTCCTCGTCTACGAGTCACGTAAGCTCACGCTAGAGGTTCAAACTAATCGTTGACTTGGCTTCCCCGAATCCGCTCCGAAATAAATCAACGGATTTCCAATCGCTCCCGATTGTGGATTGCTCTGTGATTCCATGCTCGGAGTGCGTCCCCACCCGAACGAAGAGAACATCGTCAGGGTGTTCGACTCAATGAAAGCGAGGAGAAATGATGATGCGGGTGCTTGCTTGTATTCTGTAGTCCTCATCCTAGATTGAGCCATCCTTGAGAAATTTGCCCCTTTGTTATATTTGTATGACTTCATCGAATGTTCCACCTGCCCGATAGCGAGCTGCATGCCATAGTTTGTGTGTTGCTTCAGGAATCGCAAGAGGCCGAGAGGAAACCTGAAGTGCCCGTTGTAGATGACCTCCTTGACCTGCAGAGTGAGATGGATTGTTTGCGTCAGGTTCGTGTCATTGCGCAGAAGAGAAATGTTAAAATTGAATGTCGTCTTCCCTTTGGCCTTGCAATTGTCCAAGCGAGATGTTTACATCGCATCTTCATACCTTTCCCTTCGTAGACTCCGCTTGCTTCAAGCCACGCCAGTAAAAATTCCCCTTGGTTCCCATTGTTTCGATCCGCTAAACATGTTTGAACTATCTTTTGAACGCGCCCGAGTCCTCCGGTGTGAGACGAGCGATCCGAAATCAATCGAGATCCATCGAATACCATAATCCGATCACGATCGAACTCTCCAAACTCTCTCAAAACAGAATCTTCCAAGATGTGAAATCTATCGGCTCCGGCACTACATTCAAGTTTCTAAGTCGTTCACGCCGGAGGGATTTCTAGCATGGGAGATTCACAGCGTGGCTTCATCCACAGGGCATCGATCAGATCGAAGGGGAGATAACTTCGGCAGAAGCAGCTTTTGGATCTGATCCATTCGGATCGACGTCTGAAATGTCTCAAACGAGTTCTGTGGTGCGTTAACAAAAACATTTACGCAATTAATCTCTCCGATGTCGATTCCCTCCAACCATTGTCCCTGCAAATTTCAGTGTTCTCCTTTAAATTCGTGGTTCTAACTCAATGAATGATTCCCGTGAGGAAATTCCGAGTGTAGAGACCGGATGAGTAAGAGCTGCCGCTTCCTTCGACAGATTGAATCAAACGGATATTTTCAACCAAATAAGGTCTGTTTACCCCCGGTTAATCCTCAACCCTTGCTGCCGCCGCCTCCGACGAGTTCGTTACCCTCAACTCCAAAGCGGATGTCTGGACAGACTCGTCAGGGCCTCGGCTCTTCGGGCTCATCGGGTTTCTTTTCCGAGGGGATCTCTGCGCAATCATCGGCTAGCGGAGAATCGAATCAAGTCTCGATGACTCTCCCCAAAGGTTTTACAGCAGGTGAGCAGCTATGGTTGCGAGCGTTCCGATTAGCGAAGAGGCGATGTGGGAAAGATCAGCTGCGTTGAATGGATCGGTCATGCAAGTCTTTTCATTCGTACAGGTTCATCCAGCAGTAGTTGGTTGGATGGAACTCAGGACGTCCACCGAGCGTCTCCGTCTCACGCGCAGGGGACCACTTCCAACATGGCCGTTACGTTGAACAGGCCACCTCAGAGGGTTCCGTCTACAGCTCCAGCGAGCTCGGCTCAAACCCAATTCAGTTTCGAAGGCCTCGATTTCTCAAAACGGAGTTTGCCACCGCCACCCGGTCGAGGGAGTCAACAGGGACGGAGCGGCGCCACTTCCGCCTCAAATGCTCTATTAAGTCTAGGAGAGATGTCTAACGCGTTACCAAATAATACGAGTGCGCAAACTCGACCCCAGTCAGCCGCGATAAATGTGAGTCCTACGCACTGGAGTCTCGTCGGGATGGTCGGAAGAGCTCCGTCTTCCTCACTGCTTTCTCTCATTTCATGAGTGGATCCGTTTTTCCCTGAGTGATTCGATTAACAATTTTCCCCCTTTTTCCCAACTTCAGGAGTTGAGCGCAAATCGAGTGGTGCCGCCGACCTCGTCCGCTCCTTCAACGGTTTTCAACGCGGTGTTCGATAGAGCGAGACCGAACTCAGGCCTCATCGGCCACGTACCTCCGCAATCGACTTCGGTCGATAGCGTGTTTGTGGACGACTTCAAGTTCACTCAGCCCGCCCCGGTTCAGCGAGAGGCGAATTTCTCGGCTGCTCAATTCTCCTTCGAATCTGTGGCTTCGTCGCTGTCTCGTGCGCGAACTCAGGAGAGCACCGAGCTGTTCGTAGAACTCTCGCCCGCGAACCGACCAGCGCCCGTCGAGACCATGGGATCATCGTCGTCATTCGGCTCCTCCACTGTGCATAGCGGGAGCGAGGCAACTTCCCCGCGTATCATCGGGGGTTTGTCCTCCTCACCGCCGTGCAACAAGGGCGGAGAAATTCCTCCAGCAGACAAATACGCAGTTTTCGAAGAACTGAAACAGAAAGAAGAGGCTGCGTCGACGTTCCCGACCGCCAACGACTTTAGGCCCGAGGCTCCGCCGGCAAAGACTGATCTTTTCGCCGACTTCTCGAACTTCTCTAACGTTCCGCAGAAATCTGCGTTGGCCGCTCAGGAATCCTTCTTGAACGACTCCGGCGTCAATGTTTCCACGGTCAGCAACAATTCCTTCGCGAATTTCGAGTCGTCGTTCAACTTCGAGACAAATGCAACAACTTTCGAGACCGACTTCTCTGCGTCGACGTCGGCGCTCAGTTCTACGTCGATGCCGCGCCCGCGAACAACCCAACCTAAAACTGAAAACTCGGTGCCGTCGACTGACTTCGCCAATTTCTTCGAAGAAACAACCGCGTTCGAGGCCAAATTCGATGCCTTCTCAACCGGGCCAAACTCCAAGTGAGTAATGATCTTCTCTCTCAGTTCGCTCTGAATGAATACCGATAATAAGGACACTTATCACCGCCCTGGTAATCTGCTTGACATGGCTCCCCCCGTCTCGAATTTGTAAGGTACTTATGAGGGTACGAAATAAAATTTCCGTCGTCTCGTTGCTCCGCAGGCCAAACGAGCCAATCAAACGGCCACCGATGCTAAACGAAGCCATGAGAAGTAACCCGTTCTGCGCGCTGAGTACGGATTCCACACCATCTGAGGATTTCAACACACCCCAGACAGGACTCCCGCGAAAGACGCCTTCGTCCAACGATAATTCGGTCTGTTCGCCGAGCGACGCAACGACCGCAACAAATCATTTCGTATCGGCTGCTTCGAGTCCGTCGAGTGACCGCTTCGTGACTATGGCGTCCGGTTCTAGTCTTTCGTCGTCAGAAAACGATCTTTCCGCCCCGGTCACGGTGCCGACCCCCACCGTCACCGGCTCCCAGGCCCAACCGCCGTCTCAATTGGCTTTCCCGCCATTCGCTTTTGACGCACCGGCTGCTCCAGCGGTGTCGTTCGCTTCCCCGCTAGTTGTTCCATCATCCCACGCACACGAATCATCCGTTCCCACCGCAGCAAATCCGTTCTGTATGGGCAGTTTTACACTGCCCCCTCAGAAATCGAAAGTCGAAATCGACGAAGGTTTCTGCGGTAGCAACGCAAGTAGCGTGTCTCCTCACCTACCTCAAAAAATGACTTGTGCTATCGAGTCGCAGCACAACGATTTCCCCGTCTCGTTCCCATCCGATAACGTTTCGGCTCCCGTTCGGAACGGAACGCAATCAGGAATATTCAAGAAGAAGGACGATCCTTTCAACGAGGACTTCTTCAACATGCTGAACAGCACACCGGCGGAAACTCCGGGACAGCCCCAGCAGCAACAGTTTGATGCATTCTGGTGTAGGTAGCACCAGTAGACGACCTTGAGATATCAGTGAGCGGGAATAGTAATAATTAATAACCAATCAATCAGGCGCTTCGAACGCCCAATCTTGTGTTCTCGGTGTTCCTTCCGCATTTTGTTCCATTCTCGTTTCTCGGTCCGGGTGTCAACCATCGTCTCGCTTCGTTTGCTACCTCCCTTGATAAGCGAGCTGAAATCTCACATCAAACTTCACTTGCAGGATTTAGGAACGACGTCGTAGAAAAAAGGAAACGACACACGAATATCTCAAATTGACAAGCAACTGAGGGTTGCGGACAGCCTCCCCCAGTTCATCGACCGAGACCTTGAGAGATCTGTAGATTGCCTTATCAAGATGAGTCGACGTCAGAATCTTAGCTCAACGCGCATAAACGTTCCGATGTGCTACGCAGACTCTGATAGGCCTTGGGGAATGATGGGTGTCGGAGTGTAGACCAAAAAAAATCATCGAGGGCAAATGGAATTCGCTCCAAATCGAAACCGACGAGAAAATTTTGAATGGGAGGCGAGCAGGGGAACGCTTGGCTCCGGGGCTAGAAACATTTTCCCCATTGAGCGTTGACCCTGCGAGCAGTGACGTGAAGCAGGATTTTAACTCAGAAGCACTGTACATATAAAATGAACAAGGATCGGAATACCTATGAATCTTATTGTTTTTTTTCTCAATGAGCATGGCTACAATAAAGGAGTTTGTTTTTGTAACTCATAAGTCGGTCATCATCTTCTCGACGGAGGAGGCTCCGTGTCATGGTATGCGCCTGTCTAGCCGAGCTCGACTAAGGGGCGGTCTGAAGTTAGATGCTCGTCCAGCAGATTCAAGGAAGGCAGGAGGAAGGATCCGAGGAGTACCTGCCACTACTTTCTCGGATCGTTCCGATTTTTATTTAGGATCGCCGTTTCCGCGATTTTCTCCCTGGGACCAGAATTGTGCTCTACCGTCGAGTCAGAATTAGGGCCTGATCATTCGAATCTCGTTGCACCCTTTTCATGTAGAAGAAACCCGAATCTTCGTGAGACATCTTCGTGCAGACCCATCCAAATCTGCTGCAGTCGCAATGTACTGTGACAAGGAGCGACTCCGAAGTCCGAAGTTCACAGTCGATTCCACGCTATCCTCATGAATAGAGCCTATGACTGGGTCAAAAATCATCTTGGGTGTGATATACCATGCATATGTTGTGACCGTACTTTGCGAAAAGTCGAGAACAACTTCGTTCTAGCTCATCTGTCACGAATCATCTTCCTGAAATTCTTCCGGGATGGAGATTCGGGTCATGGGGAAAAGCTTCTAGTCCGGGCGTCAAGTTGTCTTCACAGCCTCGAATGACGCGTTCTAACGTGGGTGATATTTCCTGGGTTTGACATTCGGTTTCAGAGCGCGCTTCAACTCACACATGAGGGTAGATCGATCATTATCTTATCATTCGGAATGAGAGGAGATCTTCGGAGGGAATCTCTTCTTAAGATGGGCGTCCAATAGCCGTCTCGATTCTGGTGGATAAAAATGGAGAATAGAGGAACCTTCCTGATGGGTTCTCTATCGGGCCATCAATTCAAATGGCGCCGGGCGGGGCTCATCACCGAACGTACATTGAACCAGCGGGCCCTTCGCACATGACCCGCCAGTACTGCATCCTCGCGAGATGTGCCTTCCTGCTGATGCTCCTCCCTGTACTCTGGAGGAGGGTCATATTAGGGAACAAGTCCACTTTCCGACACGACGCAATGTCTTCCGCCTGAGGAGCTGGTTATCACTCCGGTTCGAGGGAGCGGCGCGTCAACAGTCATGACGGCAGATCTCCCGGACGCTCCCTGTGGGGCATGAGAGCAAGCCCTCGCTACATTTACCGGAATGAAAATAGGAAGAGGAGCCGGCTCACCTTCATCAATGATCCCTCGGCTTTGCGAAGAAAGTCCGAGTCAGTCGGGTGGCAAGTCGATGATGCTGAAGCCTCGGTCTGCGGAATATTCCCGACCGTGTTCACCTATCCTCCGGATATCGAGTCCCGAAGCTTCGGAAGTCGAGAAACCTCATGTATCGCAGGTTCCTCAAGGATCTCCATGAGGACCGCGCTCAGGATCCCGCCAGAAGTTCTGAGACACTCGGATCAGGGAATTCTTGAACTCCGTGTTCTCTTACCCCTTGATCAACGTCGAAGCGAGGAAACTTAATCTCCGTGGACTTCGTTCTCAAGGTTCCTATTACATACTTCTCCTTAGATTGGACTCCAAGGCACCGATTGAGATCCTCGGTTTTGGAAGGTATCGGAGCGACTTCCATGAGGGAATCAGAGATTGGGCGAATTCTGGGTTTTTGGCAATGTGTTTATTGCACTATCTCTTATAATATATGACATCAGCAAGATCGAGAAAATTCCTAATTCTCTGCTTTCCATTCGTAGATCTTTTCAGTAGGTGGTTTCACTTTCCTGGTTTTCTTGTTGCTTCTTCATCCTATCGCTTCCCAGAGGTAAAAAACCTCATCTCCAGGCAGCCGACAACCGGCGTGCGAGGTTTAAATAGGTTTTGTATGGAGCGAGAATTCCGTATACACAGAAGAGGACAGCATGGAACATGGAGGACCCGCGGGACTTATGACTGGCCACAAACATCAATCTATATATAACACAAATAAACGACTAAACGACTCAAAAGTGAGTGCAAAATAAGCTCTCATGCTCCTCGAGCAGCGAGTTTTGTCAAACACTGTGGGTTGGTAAGACGCCCTCCGACCAGGAGGGACGGTACCCGTCGACCTCGACATCGAGCGATCGACGCTATTTTGCAGACCAGAAAAAACGATAAACTAAACACTAAGCGCGAAGCTTAGTCAGTAACGGTAGCCCCGCTGTCGTCCTGTGACACTGAGGTGCAGAAGAAGTGGAAGGAAACAGTTTTGCTCAGCCTGATAATGTTTGAGGAGCTATTCAGTGGAGAAACCAATGTCAGGCAAGCGCTAATATAAGAATTTCCTGTCAATTGGGTCGGTTTCTCGCACGTATGTATCTTCGCCTCGATCCCGATATCTCATATATGTATCAGATGACGAGCGTGGAATCGTCGTCGATCCCATTCGGAGATTTATTGAAGAACTTCTCCGACTGAGTAATCCGGGCGGTCGCTGATTCTGCTGTCGGCTTGTCGGCCCAATAAACACACAGCCTTGTTTGTCGTCAACAATCAATGGCTCAAACGAGAGAGTTCACTCGTTCGTTCGATCATCCGTTCGTCCGCACGTCCGCTGATCCGAACGTGAGTCTGCTCGTGCTCTCCGTCATCTGAGCGCGGGACAGTTTGGAGGAAGATTAAGCAAAGCTTTTGGACACCGCAACAGGTGCGGACGCTTTTTTTTCGTTTTCATGTTCAAGACGATCAAGGCAAAAGAGTCGAGAGAGTAGTTTCACTGAGACTCAGGCGCGTCTGGATTTCACTGACTCCGATATTTTAAAGCTACTCTGTTGATTCCCAGCGGAACCATTGTTGTGTTTGTTGAAAAGGTCTCGTGCCGTAAAACCACGTCGCTCCTCACTTTTCGTCTGTCCGTCACTTTGTTGTTTTGTTGGTCGGTCGGCCTACCTAACCTCGAAGTTTATACATTCGTTTGCAGGCTTCGCCGTCTCGAAGCAGACGTCGGAATAATGTTGTAGAATCGTAACACCTGGTCAGGGTATTTACTTCTCCTAGGGATCACGCGGAGCGCGTTTCACGTATTTACAAACAATAGGGCTCAAACCCTTGTCCGACATGTTGGTGGTTGGATGAATATTTTCCAGTAGCAGCCTCCTTCCCCTGAGGCCAGCCAGCCTACTACTGGATGACACAGCACTTGCACTTGGGCTTCTTTTTCAGAACCACCTGCTCGACTTGCTGAGCGTCGGATGGCGGAACCACGATCCCTCGTTGCACGTCTACGACTCCAGGCTTCGCGTCCTGTTTCGAAAAAAGAATCCTTGAGTCGTGAGTTCGAGATCGCGAGTTGAGCAAGGACAGAAATTTTGGGATCCCTGGAGTCGTGCGTAAAAAAGCTGAAAGCGAACCTTTCTGCCAGAAGGACTCTTTGCTGATCCATTCCTCGTGGTGAGGGATCCGTTAGCCTGGCGAGAGACGCGACCCGAGTCGATTGAGTCGAACGGTCTGCCTTCCTTGATCGCTTTGACAATCTCATCGGCTTCCATCGAAAGTTCGCCTTCCGGACGGAAGGGGTTGTCGATGCCGCTGTCCGTGCTGGAATATCAATTATAGAACTCTAATTATTGTTTTCTTCCAGGAATAGAGCTGGTCGCTTCGTCCAACGTTTCCAAGAGAATCGATACACATACTGCGCTGGACATTTTTGAATCTGGTGGACTCTCGACTTGGGAGACTCCTGAACGAGAAATTCGACCAGAAGAATCTTCACTCTCTCGATGAGTCGGAGCCGTGCTATGAGATATGTCAGGAGAGCTCAGAGTCCACGGAGAGTGCACTCGATAATGAACTATCTGTCCTTGATCTCGGAGTTGTGATTCCTATCTTGCTCCCATTCAGTCCGCAGAATCATACATTAACAAGGGCACTCTGACAGGAAACTAAGTCGAGATCTCGACAGGTTCCTCTCGGTGCCGACTGAGTGAGTGAGGGCATGCATGCGCCAGTGTGCGGGACGAGAAGGGGCTCCCGAGTCTTGTTTTTGATGCTTAGCCGCGAACATGATTGCTTTCGCTCAGTCGGTCAGAAAGTCAGTCGGAGCTCTCGGCATAGGTCGCGAATTTATTCAGAGTCCTGACTCTAGACTCTAGACCAATCGGTTCTCCCCAGATTCTCTCCCGTTCGTTCGTCGGAGGGAGAGCCCCGAGCACAGCGGATCGAGCCTATCAAGAAAGAGTTGAATCCTACAACTGCTCTGACTATCGACCTTGACCGGGAACGCTGGCGGAAACTCAGCCGCTGACGTAAGACGGCGCTCTTGTCACGCGTTTCCGAGGAATCTCAGTTGACATGTGACCTTCGGTTGCTGTCCCACTTAAGGCAGGCAATCGCCTTGACTGACTGAGTGAGTATTTGTCTGACGGAAACATGAGACACGCAGTGTCTATTCCCCAGCGGGCGCATTCCGCCACCAGTACCGAACGATTTCGATACTCGAACTCGAGAGTACACACGTTTTAAGTGAGGCGCGATCCTCATGGTTGAGAAACTCCCCGGGGCGGATCCTCTCGAACCGGAAAGCGGCGACGTCCGCAGATTGGAAAGACATGGCGGGACACAGAAGAAAACAATGCTCTCGGAAACAGCCAGCCGAAGACCAAATGGTTGACAGGCGAGCTCGGGTTTCGTAACTTCGCGATCGACGTTTCGATGAAAATATCTCACAAAGCCGAACCTACGGCGACATTTATGGCTTCCGACCACGGATTGTTTCTCTGATCATCAGTCGTAACACGCGATGGTGATCCGACAAACAAAGGATGAGTCGTAAAGAACCGTGAAGACGCTTACAGAGGAACCGCAGCGCTCGGCTCCTCCGCCGACCGAAAATACATTCGAAGCCCAGAAAATATCCGTCAGCACTTTAAACACTCCCGCCGCTCTCACGTAATCTCGAGAACTCATCTATCCGTCCATCTATCCATCGTTCCGCTTGACAGCTATCCTGTTTGCTGGTCGTCCCGCCCTAAGTCCGAGTCGGCGAGAAAAATCTGAATTGGAAGAAACCTCTCAAGAATCAAGGCGCTTGCGTCAAGCAGGATGGATGCTTCGTCTTCTGGACGACAAGGAGAAAGGTCCTCCTCAACGGAGGAATTATCATCGGCGGATCAATCACACTCATTCCGGAGTTCCATCTGCATTCTGAGAGAAAAGCGCCGATCTCCAGAAAGTAATCCAAAACGCGATTGGACACGCAGAAGAAATCGACGTGATTGGCGGCAGTGGGGTCGGACGGAACACTTTCCACCTGCTATCCTCATCAATGGTTCCAGTCGCGAGATCCGGCAACAGGATGATTTATCGTGTCTGTCAGCGTGGGCTTCAATCGAAGTCGTGTGTCGAATGGAGACATCCATAAACCACAAAGTGAGCTTGTACACGGAGCCAATGACAGAAGATTCCTCTTGTCGGTGCGGCAATGCTCACTACGCCCTACCGATTTAGCCGCCTCCGCGAACGACGTCGGCGATGATATTAGCATCAACTTTTTATTTTGCCACAAATGCATGGCTTCCACAGAGGGCACAATGCGAGCAGAGCAAACCTCTTCTGCCAGAAAACCGAAAGACCAACCGATCGGAATCAGTTTGTCGTCGCACGGAGGAAACTCTTCGACGACGTTCCGTGTTCCCGCGACGAGATCAACCTTGACTCGATGAGAACATCGGGCGTTTCCGATGGCTGAATCGCGTCTGCTCAAAACAGCTATGTATGTTCTTGGATTCGGCTATTTCGCAGCGACTGCGAGCGAGACTTTGTGAGTGTGCGTCTGTGCACGGTGCAGTCTTTGGCCCACGCGCGAAGATCACGCCTCACCGATTTGCAAACGCAGAACCTGTACAGACCCGTACACCACCACGCAGCCGGTCGGTCGCTGCTTGCTCGCCTGCCTGCCTGCCCGCCTGGCTAGAACGGAGTCGCGATATCTTGACGCGGCCCGACGAGCCGGTTACGCCCGTAGGCATCAGTCGGCGAGAAACTTGACTTTTCTCGACCATCTCTTCCCAGAAATCATCGTTCTTTTCTCGGAACCGGATGTTGAAATCATTGCTTTTCGAACTCCTCCGTTCAAAGGCTTTTACCTCTGTCGAGCGGTGTACGTAACTGTCTTGACGCTGGTGTGTTGGCCATTCGGTGTGCTTGTGGTGAAAACCTGCTGAGTCTCCCTGTAACGAAGTCAGGTTCTCAGACGTGCGGAGAATCTGAGCTAAAAGTGTTGTCGGTGCGTCTTCGGAAAGAGTTTCTTCTAGCAAGACAAGGGTCTCCGGTCGGAGCCGAACGAGCAGACGCCCTCACCTGAAGTAGCTGTTTCCTTGCTGACTCGACGTGGTGATGTTGACCACATCTCCGTTGCTGGTGTCCATTATAGCTGACGGGCACTTGTTCGCTCCGCTCTCGAAGAAATGCACCCTTACTCGCGAGGGCGCACGTTCCTCGGAGGCTGTAGACACCGGCTCACTGAAAACACATGACGGATTTAGAATTTACTTCGGGAGTCTCGCGGTCGAACACTTTCATTTAATGAGAAGATTCAAGAATCATATGGATCGGAATGATGATAATTGAGATGATGATAAATGATAACGATAACCAATGGCCTGAGAAATGAATAGAATGGGTCGAGATCATCAGATTCTGCCTCTCGAAAGGGCCGCGATCCGGAAAGAAAATCGCGCGATTCCGTCGGCGCTGTCCGCGAACGACTAGGAAAGTTGTGCCTTGTTCGGCTTTTTGTGTAGAAGCATCATCCTCTACCGCCGCTCACCGAGTATAAATCACGCGAGGTTCCGCGTCGGCTCGGAATGAAAAGACCCGAACTGTCTGAACGTAGAGGAATAAACCCGAAACGCCGCATGTGTTTCTTCCAGCCGGGAGGAAAGTCAACGAGTCGGTCCTACGTCAGCGGGATTCCGCGGATCTCTTCCGAAGGGTACTTCAGTCAGCACGTTTGACACAATCGCACTGCGTAAACATTCGAACACAAAAACTCGATTGGTTCGATATGATATCCGCTTCCTCAAATACGACCGCGGTGGATACCTACACGAGGAACAGCATGGGTCGGAGACAAACTTAATCCGGCAGCGATACAGTCGCGGCCAAGGACGTCTTCAGTCTGTCGTGTCGGAAAGGGTCTGCGGTATGAGCGAGAGAAAAATAAGAGAGCCTCAGAAGACACACGTGGATGTCAGCTGACTTTCGCTCGTCACTCACACCAATGAAACACTCTTCCTGTTGCAAATCTGATGAAGGTACCTCTCGCTAAGCTCGTGCCTTGCACCTCGCTTCCGCGAGGAATAAAACTCATCCAGGGAGCGGCTCAATCCAGGTTCCCATTCAGATATCCATCTTGAGCGAATTCTGGAGCATTTCATACGGGTGACTCGTCTTCATCAATATTTATTCGCGTTTCCAGTATTTATCTCTCGGAGGAGAAAGGATGACTAATTAGCTCCGCATCACCCACGCAATGCGCACAATTGCGAGATAGAGCTTCCCCGATTGAGGGTCAGCTCTAGTTGTAGTCAACAAGAACTGAATGAGTTGAATCGTTTTTGGACCGACGATCGAGGCCTGATTGAATACTTCAATTTGCCTGAGATCTCTCGTGTTTCCGGCGGTTGTTCGACGGCCCCTGGCGGTTCGGACGGGCAGCACCCTGCGATTGTCAGTGGGAACGCGTCTTGTTGAGAAAGGCTGAGCTTTGAGTCAAATCTAACAATGACAAGGCTTGTTCTCGCGCGGCAACACCTTGATTGACACGATCTACTCTGTCTATGAGAATGCTCTTAAAAACAGCTTCGGAACGCAGAGCTCTTGTCGCGCTCGTTTTCACGTTTCATCGAGCCAACGTTCCGCGCCTGAATGCGAACGTTCGAATCTGAACAGTGGATGGAAACTGGAAACAGAACCCCGTCCATCAGCCTCGGGACTTGAATTTTACTAAGAGTTCTGGCGGGAATCCTCCTCAGTCTGTGACAGGGAGTATCTGCATGATTCCAAGGTATTTGACAGCTAGAGCGAAGCGTGACGGAAATTTCAATGACATCCGGTCATTGTAAAGCCACTTTGCATACTCGTGTACGATCACTTGAAGGAACATTGATAGTACTAACTCAGCCAACCTTGGATGGAGCGCTGTCCGTGCCACTGTTACGGCTCATTAATTTAAAACATGATGATGGCTCTCAATGTAGCAACATAAACGTGCAAGAAGTTGCTCCCCGAGACACGCCATACGAAAGTCTCCCACTTATCCGGAGACTCCGATAATCGTCGTATGAGCTCCATGCTCCTGGCTGTATCGGAGTGTTGGAATGATTCAATCGGTTGTTTTCCGTTTGAATTCCAGGGCGATCCGTAATGACATCGTAGTAGCAGGCATTCATTCATACATTCGAGCATCGGCGAACCGCCGCACGGAAACTTGTGTTCCCAGCTCTCGGGCATTGGAGGACCGAGCTTCCTTGGTCCTGAACTGGAGCGTTCGAGCGACAGAAACTGTTTTCGGAACATAAATGCATAGGTTTGGAACGGTCTTTGGATTTGCAGAAGAATAAGACACATGGGCCGCTTCGCGGAATCTGGTCGAACCTAAGGCTCCTGCAACGTGGTGAAAGCGGTCACGAATTAGAAAAATGAGCTTCCGTAGCTTCTTAAAGTCGTGCGCATGACCTTCCGTTGCGTACTTATTTCTTGGGAGGAAGGAAAGCGCTCGTGAATTGTGTAGAGAATCCGTGTCCCTTCCAAAAATGAAGATTCAATGCTGAAGCTAAAACGGTAGCCAACCGGAGTTCCTCCTCAGACAGAGGTCGGAGGCTCTCCAGTGGCTCCTGAACGGATTTCGTTTCATCAATGGACTTCCGACGTTCCGAGCGATAATTCCGATCTCTGTGACGACTGAATCGGCTGATGACGGACCAAACGTGTTGAACACGAGAATCGGTCAATGAAGGCCGGGCTCGATGATCATTGCCAGGAACCGCCGTGAAGAGCGGATGATCACGACCCGACTCGGCGTGTATGCCAGTACGCAACGCTCCGTAACTCGAACTTCACTTTTGCACCCAGGAGGCACGCGTGGATGATACAGAACCAAAGGACATGAACGGTCGAACTGAAGGAAAAATAAAACATCCATCCATCGATTCAATCACTCTCTGGCTCCTGTAGATAAAGGAAAGACTCTATGCAGACTTACTCTACGAAAGAACCCGGAGTATCAACCCTGGAATAGACTCCTTCCATTGTCTCCAGACTGGGACTTCTACCCTCTATGATGCGTAGCTCGCGGGCGTAACATTTTCTCAGATACCATTCCTGTCTCCGAGTCGCTTCGATGCGTTCCGCGCGAAGCTCTTCGGTCTCCGGCAGAGGGGTGAGTTGCCTCCCGATCTGTACGGACGGATCCCGCTCAGAGACCAAAGCCCCGAGACTTCTCACCACATACCCGCGACGGGGTATCTTCTGCGAAAGATCGTAAAACTTGCAGATCAACAGACGCGCCCTACAACGCATAGGTCGCACTTCAGCCGCGCATGACGGTCGCCAATTTCGCACGCGCATACACCAACACTCGGTCGGTGTGCGTTCGCGTGGTTGTTGAACGGTCGACGGTTGTCTCCTGCAACACGGCTCACTCACAGCAACCACCGACGGAACCACTGACCACCGACGACGACCACCACCACCAGCAGCACCGCATCCTAACTGTCATCTGTGCAGAGCCAAGTTCACTCCGTTGCGAGGGACGGCTGCTCTTCTTTCCCTTCTTGTCGTGAGCGTAGGTCGTGAAAGGTGCTCGGCGCTACCCTTTGACGTAATGTACAGAGTAGGTTCGTACGCCGGCGAGCAGAACATTGAGTTTGGATTTGTTAACCGACTTGGTGAATTTCTCCGGTTGGACCGCACGGCTCGGTCACGCTCTCCACAGTCAAGGAGCAGCAGATTTTCCGACATCAGATCGATGGGAGACTGGTCCGAAAGACGCTGTATTATGATTCTCCTCCTTCCCGACTGCCTTCGTTCTCATTCCCCTCTTTCGGCTCACAAAATTTCCTACTCGATACTGGGATATATTTTCGAGTTATTTTTCCGAATCCGTTCCCGCATGCGGAGATTGGTTTGCAAAGGTACCATTTTCTCTCGCTCGCTCAGTCAAAGATGGCAGGGATGACGTTTACCGAAGAGGGACCGACAAGCACAGGTACACAATCAACGATCAGAGTGTGCCCCGAACGATTGAGCGGGGGATGCGTCTGGCGGCTTCAATTAGGAATCGTTCCGCCGCGCCGTCGGACGAGACGGCCGTCACTCAATTGGCTTTTGCAATTTCCGTTCCGAGCCATGCCCGGACTGTATGATGTTAAAATTTATTGCTCTTCGATACGCATACTGCCCCGATGAGCACCTGCTTCCGTGAACTTCCCGTCCTTGGTAGTGGACACTGCGCGTTATTGAGTTTTCGTAAATATTCCATTTTACTGATCGGAAGAGCTTCACGGTGGAGGAACCAGTTCCAAGAGTCGGCCTCTCTGTCTCTTCCCCTGCTGTATAATCTCGTCTCCTTTGACACCGAGGGAACGATGCTCGTGTTGTTTGCCGACCAGAACCGTGATGACGACCTCAAACGTAAGGCGGCTTAGGCAACGGCTGCGAGAGTGCGGTTATAAAACTTCTAGTGGAATGTTTTCCCCGATTCTTCGAGTGTTTGGCGTGGTCGTCCTTTGTATTTGCTCATTCTTTGCTTCGTTCCGCAAATTTGTTCGATTCGAGATCATCCAGTCGAGCCGAACGTTCGATGTTCCGGGAGGGCGCCGATATTTTATGGGACGCATAGAACTTCGCTTTCAAGAACGACACCTACAGCGGAATCTCGCAGCCGATCCGGAGAAATTGCGCACGTATCGACAAGAGGAAAGTTCCCGGCCGATTGGGGGCGCTGGACTGACCACGTCTCAACGGCACCTTTGCTCTGACGGGGCACGCCCAATAACCGTCTCACTTACTCGGGAACGAGTGAACTCGGTCGATACTCGTGGAACGCTCCGTCACTTCGATCATGTCTCATCATTATTTGATCGCTCGCCGATCTTGACAAGCTGCTGTCATACAGACGCATCAACCAATATCTTGAGAATGAAGAGAGCCCACGTAATTGTAATTAATGAAGGTCAGGATGACGATCGTCATCGAGGCAACGAGTGTTCAAACTCTTCCGACAAAAAGCGGATGCGATCCTCCCTCGACTTCCGTACAGGCGGCTTCTCTGTGAAAGTCGATTTCTGGTGTCACGTTCTTCAAGAGGGCACGACTCGGCCATTGAGTGAAAAATCAGGCGAGGGAGATGCGAATACTGTCCGAGAACCGAAACAGAGAAAACGTTTCTGAATTTTGTTCGTAATTATCGCGATCCTCGAATTCGGTCCGGAGGAGCTCCCTGCCGGTCGCGAGAGAAGCGTCAGCCGGTCGCCATCGATACTTCCGAACATATGATGGGGAGTCAAAGACGGGTTGACGTCTGACACTCCGCGTACGGTATCGGCCACCCGTCGCGTGCGTCGTCTCGTTCTCGATCCTCTCAGTTCGTTGCTTCCCGTGCCCACATTGTCGACTGACAGACAGACTTTTACATTGACATCTATTTATCCATCCATCACTCTAATATCTATCCAGCGGCTCATCCGAACGGAGAGCGGAATGGTTTTTTGGCCAGGGAGCAAACAGCACGCTTACTTCTCCAAAGCTCCCTCGTTTCAGACAAATCACGTTTACGTCGCGCCTCGGCACTGGGTGAGTGAATAAGCCGTAAGCCGTCCGCCCCTCCGTGAATTTGCTGACTGTCAACTGAGCCTAC